TTAAGCAATGTCTGCACACAGTTTCTTTTGTGAGTAATTGGGTCATTGCTAGTATAGTTGAGTGTTTGATCTGTGTGCTTTGATTTTCTGTTTACTTGTGTTTCTAAATTTCGTGTGTTAGTTCTCCTGATGAAGGCATCTAAAAGTGGGATTTTGTTATCTAATTCTTCTTCTACTCTTTTGAATTTGATGTCTTCAAATATGTTGTTTATTAACTTATGGGTATATTCCAAATCATTTCTTTTAATTATTACAACTGTATCGTCCCAGTAACGTACCCAGACTTTTGGTTTAATTATAGGTAGAGCTATTAATTCGAATCTTTGCATGACGGCTTCAGCTTTTAATTGTGATATTAGTGATCCCATTGGTGTTCCTTTTATCTGTTTGTGTAATTGAGTACTGAAATGGAAGTATGTTGTACGGCATAATTTTATGAGTTCTATCCAAGCTGAACATCACTGCGTTTTTATGTTTTCATCACTATAGAGTAATTGTTGCATAGTTTCTGTTGCTAGTTTTGGACTAACTGAAGTATATAATGCTGTGACATCAAAGGACACCATTATTTCATTGTCATCCACTTGAATGTTTTTGATTTTCCCAAAAAATTGGAGGCTGGAGACTGATGAGTGGCAAAAAGGACGAAAAATAGGTCACGCAGAGCTTCCTGCTAACTGCATTCAACCACTTAACATAAATGTAAAGGAAAACCTACTGGATTGTTCTATTATAGACCACAATTGCAATCATAATCAGAGTCGTAATTTCTTCAACCTTCTTATATTCCAATAAGTGTTACTTCGCTCCTTTGCACCATTATTATTATTCATTCCATGCATTCCAAATGCAACAAAATAGGGCCTCACTGGTATATCCCCAGTGCGTCACCGGACGCCAAACTTAGCACTTTCCATTCGAGTCCCAATTGACCACCTAGTGTAGTTTACTAGACACTCCTTAGACCGGAAAAAATGGGAGATCAGATATGGGGCTAGTAATCCCACTTGATTGAATTATACCTCTAGCCCTACGGAAAATTCAAAGTATGGAGGAAATTCATGGAAGGATTTCGCCGATGGGTGAAAGCTCTGCAGAAGCAAATCAGCCGATGTGTGTCTTTCCAATGAAAGCAAACCTAAACATAGAGAAATGGAGTCTCCACACCATTTTTTTTCGCCTATCTGGTAAGACTGTTTATATCAACACCAGAACCAAAGGCTCTCGCGCAGTGAGAAGCAATCTCCTACAGGATTATAACATCAAGACTCTACCCTATGCGAAGGAAGACTGTAGCTTTGATCATATTGAGAAATGAATGAAATGAGCTTAGTCTGCAGAATCTAGTTTGTTAAGATTAGTTGAGAGGTTCAGTCCAATTTTAGCACAGAAACACACACCTGATAAAAGAATATGGTTAAGGAAGAATTTTGTACCTCAGAGAATCCTGAAAAAATTTGTATTCAACTTGTGAAGTGATTAAACCGGTATAATTGATATAAGTATAAAACTTGGGCACTTTGGTAGAGTATAACTCCATTATGGATAAGATTTTATTTTGATAAATCACACAGTGTTGTACAGTAATATTAACTAATGACCACGTTTCGAGCATAAACCACTGCCACTCGATAATCATATCAAGGCACTACTCACACAACTTTTTTTCTTTCATTTATATACATGTGTCGAACCGATTAGATATTGTAATAAAAATCAATATGAGATAATGTACATTCAGAAATGATAATAATAATATGAGTGTTATTGATGAAATACAATCAGATGGGAAATAAGACGAGTGTTTTTATAGTCAAAATAAGTAACTTGTTACGTGTAACTTGTTGTGATGTGCCTGAATTGAAATAGAATTTTGAGATTATTTATTATCCTCTTCTGATTTAACTGACTGGCGGTAATAATATCTTCCATGTTTCTGGTATTTGCTTTGAGTCACTTCTGTTGCACGTGTTGGGTGTAGACTCGATGAACCAGGCAGGATTCAGTAATCAATCTCTCTATTTCCACCTACCTATATTACTTCTTAGAATTTTAACCCTCTCCCACCCCATTGTGTGGTTGTGTGTTAATGTATGTAGTGCAGTTGCTGAGCTTTTTCCTAAATTACTTATCTTCACGGGGTCAACCATTCTTACCTTAGCTAAATTCTTATGTTCCGACAATCTGATTACACCCGATCTACTAGTTTGACCCATATAGTTGACCTCATCCTCATTGCAAGGTATTTCGTAAATTATATTATTTTGTCTAATTGGGTCAACAGGGTCCTTTAACCTACAGAGCTTGTCCCTGAGTGAGTTTGTATGGCACTCTAATTTCTGCTTTATTAAGAATCCTACGTAGGGTATCAGATGTCCCCTGCCTCCTTATATGGTATAACAGTAGATGACTTATATTCCCTCTCATTTATGTTATCATTATTAGTTTCACAATTATTTTTATTCTCTTTTTGACCTTTACTGATCTTTCTAATGAATTTTATAGGGTAGTTATTTAACACCAACGCATCTTCTTCTATGTGTTTTATTTCATCATTTAGGTCTTTTCTTGTGCTACTTAGTGCTACTGCTCGGTTTGTTAGACACTTAACTACTAAGCCTGCCTTCACAGTTAACGGATGAGACGAATTGAAGTCTAAATATCTACTAGAATGCGTTGGTTTTTTATAAACACTAGTGTGCAGTCTAACTTCTTCTGATCGTTTTATTTTACAATCTAACATAGCTAATTCTCCTTGTTCATTTTCCGGTCCAAATGTTAATTGTGTTCCCTTCACTAGGGAGTTTGTATGCGTCAAGAAGCTAGAGATATGTTCTGTTTTTAACACTGTGTGTGAAAGTGTCATCCACATATCTCCACCATATTTTTGGAGTAGGATTAAGTAAATATATTAAGAGCACTATTTTCCCAGCTGTACCATAAATATATGTGGTACGATAGGGGATATTGGTGATCCCATTGCTCCACCTTCTGTTTGTCTATATATTTTGCCTTTGAATTTAAAGATAGTAGATGTGAGGCATAACTGAATTCCTGAAATAATTTCCTCAATGGGTATATTTGTTGTTCTTGTTTTTCGAAGTTTACTAATGGGAAGAACTCTATGCAGTTTTTAAAGAAACGATTGGTATGTTGACCTAGGAAGCTTATGACATGATACAGTATTCCACAAAAATACAGATCACAACGAACAATATTTTTTTAGCATTAACGACTGCTGAGAAATTAATGAAATGTCGACTGTTTCAGATGACACTGGTAAGTTGCTCAACGTCTGAAACGCCATCAAAGACCAGAAATGAGATTCTTCTTACTATTTATATTTCCTTGAAAGCTGCTCATGAATACTGATTGGTAGTAAATACTACTGCTGATTGAATATGATTGATTGATTGATATGATTATAATCTGAGTACTTCCCATTTCCAAAATGAAACTGGGGTGACAAATTTGATTAAATACATATATATTACCAGTACGCCCAAGTTGCTGGCCAACATTCAGATGGTTCGAACTGATTCGCCCCTCTGAGCTTAGTCTAACTGGATACATTGCAGATGCGCTCATCCTGAGGCTAGAAATAAGGTGTTAAAAGTTTCTAACTACTTATACTAATTGATCGGTAGTATATACCATCATGGACTGACGCTTTTTCCTATCTGATTGATGTCAAGCTGACTATATACTACAGTTTTAGCAGAATAAAATGGTACCAGCTTTTATTTCGTTGCCTTCTCGTCAGCTGCTTACAGGGTAGAGACATTATTAAATATATCTACAAAAACAATTTTAACAATACTTGCACAGAGTTCATTTTAAGCAAAAATCAATCGATCAATGTATGCATACAGTAATAATATATACATATGCAATATTAAACACTATTCCGAACAACAATAATAATCATACACAATGGAAACTTTTCAGCATTTCGCATTCAGATGAAAGAGAGATGAAAAAAAATATCCAGTTACCAGGGCAAAGAAAGACTGATAACCGCATTTTTCTGGACGCATAAATCAGGTTTCAGGCGCTTGATGGAAATGGCTTCAGCAAACTTACACTGGAAGAACAGAAAGAAGGGCATATCTACGATTTTCTGAACATGTACCAAAAAACTTACGTTTAAAGGGAACAAATGCTCTAAACAGTGCCATCGCCAGGCATCTCTTCGACACGGATAATGAGGTGGACGTCAAAAAGTCGTTCAAAATTTTCAATAGGCAAAAGAGTTCAATTCTCCTTAAGTTTGCTGAAGCCATTTCCATCAAGCACCTGAAACCTGATTTATGCGTCCAGAAAAATGCGGTTATCAGTCTTTCTTTACCCTGGTAACTGGATACTTTTCATCTGAATGCGAAATGCTGAAAAGTTTCCATTGTGCATGATTATTATTGTTCGGAATAGTGTTTAATATTGCATATATATGTATATATTATTAGTGTATGCGTATATTGATCGATTGATTTTTGTTTAAAATGAACTCTGTGCAAGTATGTTAAAATTGTTTTTGTAGATATATGCAATAATGTCTTTGCCCTGTAAGCAGATGAAGAGAAGGCAACGAAATAAAAGCTGGTACCATTTTATTCTGCTAAAACTGTAGTTCTTGCTTTGTTCAAATTCATTAAGGGGAATAAATGTATGACTATATACTGCGTGTTGTAAATATATCTGGTTTCTGAAGGATACTGGGCTATAACTGAGTAATTTGCATATGACTAAGTCGATTTATGCATATTTCCGGGATTTAAGGAAACCATACTCAGTAAGTGTTTAGTAAATATCTTGTTGTCTTTGATCGAGAATGTAGCTGACTACCTTAAAACACTCAACTTGCGCTAAGTAGATTCCAGGTTTAAATCTAACCGCTAAACCTGGTTTAGTCTTCGTACCACAAATATGGCTCACAGCTTGATGCATCCGAAAACTGCAATTGAAGGAGAATACTCACTCACATTTAGAATATTTAGTAATATTTCCAATAATAAAAATCAGCTATTTTTAAATTAACAAGTAAACAGTTCCATTTATGGAGGGGGGGTAATTTAAAATCTAATCATTTCGCGCCAAATCAAGTTAGCTATAGTTTAATTCATTGAAACGAAGCTAATTCTTAGCTGGAAATGCGAAATCAACAGTTGTAGTGAATATCTCAACAGACTAGGCATAGTTCATCCATTATGGACAAAACAATTTTGAAAAATGTTTATAAAAAAATTCAACTATATACCATAAAAATTATTTTCATATGAAAAACAAAAAGAATAAATCAAAATAACTGAATAGATAAAGTAAAACAAAAGACAAAAACCTGATAAGCAAACAAAAAAACAGCATATAAAAAGGAAATGCATTCGCACCCACATAACACATGCACGTGTTTTCGGTCAGTTAGATAGAACAAAGAAAAAAAGAAGAGAGCAATAGTCTCAACTTTCATGCAACCAACCAACCCAGTGGTGAATTTTGCTGTCCGTCAACGAGACTCTGTAGACACGAAGGAAGTAACGAACAATCTGGAAAGAAAAATGTGAATGTATACAAGTATATATATATATATATACATATATATATATAAGAGAGAGAGAGAGAAAAAAAAGGTGTAGGCAATTAGAATTGATTGATTAGTAGGTACTTGAAGTATTTTTGTGTTTTGAATATCGATCGATCTATGCATGTCTAACTTAACTATGTCTATATTAGTTTGTTTATTAGGTATATCACACAGTGAATCAGTATTATTTACTGGATGACTTTTCGAACAAAATTTACTGTTCATAATCATATCAATTGTGATCACACGACTTTGACACTTGAGTTTTATAGTTTTCTTTGTTCTCTCCTATTTGTCGTATGGGGAGTAGAATTTTCCATATATCGGGGACAGGTGATGAATCATTCCTATTACATGTGTTTGCAGTTGATTCAATAAACAAAGCTTCTGTTATCAATCTCTCCCTATACCCTGTGACATTAGATTTTAAAACTGTCATCCTATCCCATCCATCCTATTGTATGGTTGTGTGTAACTGCATGTAGCGAGTGCCTTAGTTGAACTATTCTCTAGATTTCTTATTTTATTCGGGTCAACCAATCTAGATTTTGCTAAGTTCTTATGTACTAGCTGAACATAAAAACCTAGCAAAATCTAGATTGGTTGATCCGAATAAGATAAGAAATCTAGAGAATAGTTTACCTACACCACTCACTATATGCAATTAAACACAACCATACAATAGGATGGATGGGATAGGATGACAGTTTTAAAATCTAATGTCACAGGGTATAGGGAGAGATTGATAACAGAAGCTTTGTTTATTGAATCAACTGCAAACACATGTAATAGGAATGATTCATCACCTGTCCCCGATATATGGAAAATTCTACTCCCCATACGACAAATAGGAGAGAACAAAGAAAACTATAAAACTCAAGTGTCAAAGTCGTGTGATCACAATTGATATGATTATGAACAATAAATTTTGTTCGAAAAGTCATCCAGTAAATAATACTGATTCACTGTGTGATATACCTAATAAACAAACTAATATGGAATTACTTACTACCACAATGCCCAAGTTTTACACATATATTAATTTAACTATGTCTAACTAATAACAACTCTTAGTCATAAATACAAATGAAACACACTTGTGCATAATTTTGTAGTCTTTACACTTTACACTAGTTATACGAACAACAACAACAAACGGTTAGTTTTCAGTGTTACACAAGAGTTTACTCGGAGAAAATTGCTGAAAAATAAAACAGGCAGATAGATGTTTTCCATTTCAACCAAACGCCAGGCAGCCAAATAGGAAGCAATGCGTTCGTTGGGCATGAGTCTGAAGAAGGAAGCAAACGCTTGCGGTAATGGGAACAGAATACAATGGAACTGCGACCAATTTAAGCCCTAAATGCCAAAAACAAGCATCAGTCACAGAAATCCAAACGAAGTTGTCTCGTTCACTTGTCAATGTAGAATCAATTCATTGAGTGCTTCCGTGTGGTTCAGAGACTTGGTGGGTGCATATCACTGAAACCATTTCCATTAGGCTTCAGACTTTCAACAACAACAACTGCCTTTGCTGACTCGATACTGAAGATCAAATGGCCAGCCAGAAAGGATGAGCGACAAAGAACTCTGACAGTGCAGTGAACCAACTAAGGAACCTATTACCCAGCATGGATATGCCGAAGGAAATGGAGGTGGACTGGATACACACAGTAAAGAGACCGGCAAACTTGAGGAGAATGGAGCTACTTTGTCTATTGATAATTTTTAAGGATTTCTCGATTTCCACCTCATGACCCGTGTCGAGGAGATGTGTGGTAATAGCGCTACTATAAGAGTTTGTTCCCTTGAGACGTAGGCTGTGCCGAAAAGTTCATAGAGCTCCAGTTGTTCTGACTGAATAGCAATATCAGTTATCAGTCTTTCCTTTCCCTGGTAACTGGATGTCTTTACTGTCACTCTCATCTGATTACGTAATCTTTGTCTTTAACCTCACCCTCTTTTATAATCTGTAATTTTGCTTGCCTCTTGTTTCTATGATTTGAGTTGAACTCAGTAGATTGTTACCTAATTTATTAGTCACTCTGCATTTAACGCATCTCTCGTCTTTATCACGTAACTGCTTTACCATTGTATGCATACATTTATTTTGTTTAAACTTGAACTGCCTGTGTAAAAACTATATAAGCTCAATTTTCTGAGCACTGTTCACTAATTGTAGAACTTTCTGTCAACTGACAACATGTAAAATTTGCAAGTATATTAAAACTTTTCTGTGCATAAACCTCGTAATTTATTTAGGCTGTAAGCAGGTGATGAGAAGCCAACGAAATAATTAATGATGGTACGTGCGTAAATGATGTTGTGCGTATTGCGTGTTTAGAGGAATACTGTAATAACAATGCTCGAAAACACCTTGAGATCACTTTTATCCTCAACTACAACATCTTACTTTTCAATATAAATATATATATATATATGCATATATTTCGTACCTGTTAACGCAATGTTCTTCTTGATCCAAATTCCATACTCCCAATATCTCATCAATGCCTCATTTGCTGTCTGTATGATTCGCCTTCACTTCTTAACTTCTGCGGACAGTTGACATAAATTCTTTCAGGTTCATTGTTACAGTAATAATTGTTCTTGTGCAAGTTTGTATTCTGTGTTCTACTCTTTAACGGAAGATAATGCGTGGAATTCCTTTGGTCTTGACTAGGCACATTTGAGATATATGGCCTTTAAGGGGAAAAGAAAGGATTCAGTTCAGTGCAGTTCAGTGACCAAAGGCATAATTAAGCCGTACACAAAACAAATCTTAGCTTGAAAAACACGTTAGACGCTTTACAGTGTTTAGCTAAATGGCAAACCATTCATTTATTGGAATTATAAGTAAAAATCCAAACTGACACATGAGTTACATTCATTAGACAAAAACTGAAAAATGGAGGATTTCATCATGAGCTGACATCAGTTGGAGAACCACTGGGAAACCTGGGAGTGCTGGGCAGCTGTTTCGTCCTTGATTGGACTCCTCCCAGTACGCACCCACCGGAGTTCGAACCCAAGACCTTCTGGTTACAAGGCAAGCTCGTACACCAACCCAGTAACCAGCCCATGAATTCTAATTTCCACCAATTCACGCATGACATAGCGCGACCATTTCGCAATGTCTTCTTCCATGAGTTACTGCCTCATTTTCAACCTGCTGTACCCTACTGGTCACAGCTTCCCACTAGAAAAACTGTAAAAATCACCTTCTTCGTAGCTTTAAGAATTGATGAGGTTTATAAAAGATTAATAATTCTTTTCATTGTCATTTCTGTCTTTCATTCAGTCTGAGTGAAACACAGAGTTTCAGCGGGGCACATCTCAATTCTTATTCATTCACTGCCATTACTTTCATTTGCTTAATCCGGCACTGCCTTCAGGCTTTCATTTATTCCTAAAACAATCTTCCTTACGTGACACTCATATTCACGTGAAACTCGTCGTTTCTCATTCGACTCCCATTCTCCCCATTTCTATTCAACTTCATCATAGATGTACTAATGGACTTAACCCTAACTCACTTCAGCGTCTCAGGGATTGACTTGCTACCAGGGAATAATCCCGTCGACTTAGAATATGCGAACGATATAGTCCTTCTAGGCGAGGACGCTGGCAAAATGCAGAGTCTTCTGAACACCGAGAGCTGGAATCTACAAATGTTTGGCATGCGATTCGCTCCCGCCAAATGCAAGATGATGTTACAGGATTGGACTACACCGACTCCTAGATTAGAAATAGGGAGTGAAGTGGTAGAGCACGTTGACCGCTTCACTTACTTGGGAAGTACCATCAGCCCCAATGAGTTGATCTCCGGCGAGATCTCAGCACGAATATAGAGGGCTAGTTTCGCATATGCCAGTTTACGCCGTCTCTGGCGTAGACGTGATATCCGACTACCGAACAAAGGGCGTGTGTACTGCTCGTCAGTCCGCTCAGTCCTCCTTTATGGCTTGAGAGTGGAAGACATGAAAAGATTAGCTGTCTTTGACCACAGGTGTCTGCGTTCTATCTCCCGCGTGAAGTAGTATAATAGGGTGAGCAATATTGAGGTAAGACATCGGTCGACTGCTAGGTAAGGAGGGGAAATCAATCGACGAAACGGTGAAATTACATCGACTGAGATGGTTAGGACATGTGTTACGTATGCCTAGCAATTCATCGCCTTCCTCAACGGGCAATGTTAGTCAGCTGACATAGGGTCAGGATGGAAAAGAGCTAGCTAGCGGCGGTCATACCAAAACATGGCACCAGTCAATGAAATCTACAACAGTTAGTTTAAGCCAACCACGTAGGGAAGTGTAGACCTCCTAACTCGTTGAGGTCCTCGGAACAGTAAACACCAATGGCTGGAGACAATCAGTGATATGAATCAAAATCCTCGTTCTTAATGGCGCAGATGCATCCACTCCTTGTGACTTATGATTTCCAATAAACCTATATTGTTCTTCGTTATTACTATTCCTTTGTCTCACACCTCTGTTTACTGTCTATATTATGCATTTCTTCTACTTTCTTCTCTTGCTTTGTGTGCTACATGGAGGGAGTGTGGCAACTTGAACTGCCGCACATCGGTGCAAAGTTCTATGTCGAAAACAGACAGACGTTCGACTCCCATTCGGCGACCTGGAGAGTGAATTCGTTTGAATGTCTTCTCAACGTATGTCTAACTCATCTTCATTTCACTTTGAGTATTTGTTAGCTGGTACGTTGATCACCAGAGTTGCTTGATATTTATCCTTTCTGGACACCGATCTGATCATCAGTATGGAGACAGTGAAGGATTAAATATATACTGGTGGAATTAGACAGTAACATGTTGGAAAGCTTTTAGTGACGCAAACTCGGATAATAAACAGCTGTCCAGTGTACTTCCAGTGTTTCTCCAACTGATGTTAATTCGTTATCAAAGCTGAAACCAATCAAATTCCTGCAAATCACTAACTAGAAATACTTTCCCGCCTCCCCCCCCCAAAAACAGTATCTCCTTAATAAGTCATAACAGGAACTATGCAAGCATATTAAACTCTGTTAGCCTTATGATATCAGAAGTAAGTCCATTGAACACAAAAAAATAAAACAATTCATCATGTTAGTTATGCAAGCAAATGATGAGTTAATTAAAGCGCATACACACACACACATTAAATGCTTCACATCAAATTATTTGCTAATTTATGAACACTAAACAAAAATGTACAAAAACTACTTTTAAAATAAGCACAAACTAACAAAACTAAGATATTAGCAGAATAAGCTGATTTGTAATCATTTCATATTATCGATTTCTGAATACAACCATTAAAAAGATGTTGTCATTCAGTCTACGTACGTATAGGAAACCTTTTTCTTAAGTTACTTGCAAAGGCGACGTGGTGTCGTTTAACAGAAGACTTCAAAAATAGTAAACAGATTGTGTGCTCATAAGTAACACCTGTATGACTTAAGAACACAATGTCCAAAATTGAAGAAAAAAGTCCGTTAGGGCCCCTTTTAGCAGATATTTATATGTCGTACACTGAGAATTTATCGGAGGATTTAATCGAAAATGTGCCGCTTTATAGAAGGTATGTAGATGATATTGTAATCATAAGTGATAAGTCTTGTTCTGCCACCTCAATTTTAAATCGAATGAATGAAATTCAGAATAGCATACCACTTACATTTGCAGAAGAGGAATATAATTGTTTATCTTTCCTAGACATATTGTTTAGTCGACGGCTTGATCTATTTATAGAAAACCTACCTGGACCGGAGAGAGTCTTAATTACCACAGTTTCTGTCCTGTTCAGTACAAAAGAGCCTTAGTAAGGTGCCTTTCCAGTAGAATCCAACGAATATGCACTGAAGACGGACACACTTGGTGAAGAAGAAAGAAAGTTGACTCAAGCTCTGGTTGATAACAATTATCCAGACAAGTTCATCAGGAGATATAAAGTAGTCAGAACACCAAGACCCACTCTCCAACTCGCCCCTAAGAAAGACGTGTACATCAAGCTACCCTATATGGGGCATCATAGCAGCTTGATAACTAGACAAAGACTGAACGCTGCTGTTAAAAAGACTTTTTATGCAGCTAATATCATAATAATTGAGAATGTGAAGCCAATTTATCTATGTAAGCCCTTTGAACATGCGAAAAATGATGTCACATCCTACTGTATTTACCAATTTGAATGTACGTGTGGACACACATACATAGGGAGGACTCATCGACATCTACGAGTAAGGGCTGGCTTCACAGCATATTCTTAAATGGCTTCAGAAACTAACAGCATCCCCTGAACCCATTAATGGTAAGAACAGGCGACAACCTAGCTCTTCTATTGCGAAACATATTATAGAGACAGAAAATAAAATTGACGTTAACACATCTTTTAAACCTATCTATAAAACGTGTTTGGGGTGTATCCTAAAGTTTGTGGAAGCCCTAGGTGGCAATTAGAAAGTTTAAACCACCTTTATGCGTTCAAAGCAACAATTCGTCATCACATTAAACCTTCCTTGGTAAATTTTGTTTTGATACCATAGCAGATGTACTATTACTTTTGTTATTTGGTTTAGTGGTCTTCATTGTTACTTTGACCTTGAATATGTCCTTTCAACTTGACCTAAGTAGTCTATTTTCTCACCTCTTACCTCTTTATTAATTTCATATATATTCCTATGACAAGTCCGTGTGTGATCAGATTGTTCGAAATGTGTTGCGTAAATACATTACACGATTCAGACAAATTAAGTCTTCCTTATTTTTTTTATTCCTTAACGTTCCCAGTGGAACATAGGGCTTCAAGCTAGAGGCTTGAAGTTTCTGTAGCAGTGTTTATTTTTACAGGATGAGGTTGCTAGCCTCATGCCCAACCTTTCCCCTTTACTAGCTTTATTTCTCGCTTAGCGAGGTAAAGGAGTGAGTCGGCCGGGGATCGAACCCAGGACCATGTGCATGGTCGGCGAGCATCCTAACCGCTATGCCACCGACGCGAACTAATTGTTTTAAAGAAAAACTGTTTGGATGCATTGAAAAAGTAGTCCTGTAAAAAAGATAAGGGGTAAGTAAGTCAGTGATAAGTAACTAATAACCTGCGTTACAAAATGGTAAGCCCAATACATACAATAGGAACAGAAAGAAGAAAATATATTATGCCTTTATTTTGAAGACATCCAGATGAAACATTCAGTAATGAAATAAAATGAGTGGCTGAAAAGAAAAATCCAGCTATCAGAGCAAAGATTGGCTGATGGCTGCTTCTTTCCGAACATCCGTGAACTAAGGGTTTTAATCGCTTGATGGTGATTGTCCCGGCAAACTTGTGAAGATTTGAATTATGTTGTCTATCGACAATTTTAAAGAATTTCAAGATGTCCACTTCGCGACCTGTATCAAAAAGATGCTTGGCAATAACACTGTTGAAACTCTTGTTGCCTATGCTTTATAAGCGACAATTCTGAAGACACTTTGTTCATTACTTTTGAAGTCTCCTGTTTGGCGACATCATGTCACCTTGGAAAGTACTTTAAAAATATTTGCCCGTACACTCGTACTGAATCTTCTTAAAGACTGGCATAAGTTTGTTGACAATAAAGCGACAAAATTAAATGATGAAATCCTGTTAATCTGCAGAAATTGTTGTTGTTGTTATTTGCTCCTAACTTTGCTGAAGAAAAAGTCAGTAGAGGTGAGTAAGCCTAAC